TATTTGGTTTATTTATTTTAAGTCCAGCTACTATCTTTTTAGTGACCGCTACATAGGTTACAGTAGCAGCTGTCCTTATAGCTACAATGTTTAGTTCAACAGTCCCATTGCTGGCTTGGTTTATGTGCATTTCTTGTTATTTATTACAACGATCAGTAAAAGTAAACTTTAGTTGGATTAATCCTTTGAAAATTTCTTTTCTATTACAATTCCCTACCTTAGTTAAACAAAAATTACATTTACGCTGTTATCTGCCTTGACACTTAAAGAGTCGTTTCTTTTAAAGATTTAGCAAACATAGACGTATGCGTAAGATCTGTTAAATGGCTGTGCACCCCAAATTTCAAGTTCGGATCAAAACTAAGGTTCAGGAATTGAAATAACAACCAGAACACATCACTTATTAGGGGTGTTTTGTGCAGTAGAGAGGGTGGTAAGTTTGTCTGGGAGCTTTTAAAAGTCGGACTTCTAACCCTAAGTCACCGCCCGGGGTATAGTGGTAGGAGTTCATGACCAACCTTAATATAGCTGGCACTACGGCCCCTCAGCTGCCCCCATGTCTCCAAAGGGAACTCCTACCACTTCACCTCAGTGGAAGTAGCCAGCTCCCACAACCTGTACAAATTATTTCACAAAATTATAAGAAGTGACGAACAGAGAATCACCATACATACTTTTTATTAACCTAACTGCTCCAGTGCAGGTTTGTCTTAATATTTTTTTTATAGTGGCTTCCTGTCCGTTTGTGTGTGTGGGGGTGGGGTGGGGTGGGGGGACATTATTTTAGAGAGTCTTTGTGTGACTTTTGCCTGAATTTATTTATTTTAAGTTCGGCTTGACTGGATTTTTTCCCCCTGGTGTCTAGGATAACTTCCACGAATGTAGTATATCTATCTGAAGTAACCGACATAATCCAATCAACATTATGTATACTTTATCTTTGGTAGGGGAGAAAATATATTTGTTGTTGTTGTGGGTATTTTTTGCTTGAGTGCGAGATCCAAAGTCTTTGATCCGGTGCTCTAGTTTCTCAACTGACTTTCAAGTAGCTAGGAGCTGCTGAGAGTACGTTTCATTGCAGTTAAAAAGCTAAAATAAACTAAATGTGTAGGCTGTTGGATATTTTTGCGGTGAAAACATTTGGTAAATATTCATTATCTAAATCAAAAATAGAATTACACTGCTCCTGAGGGACTCCGCCTTTCATTTTTCCAGACTGTCTATTTTAAATTGTAGCCAATGATAGGTACTAAGAAATCTCTTTAAAAAAAACTAATAATATCTGTTAGGATTAACATTCCTAGGTAGAATACTTGCACTGACCCTTTTTCCCTTCACCCATTTTTGGGAATTATGGAAAGGGCAGTGTTAAAACAAACAACAAAGAATAACGTTTAAAGTATTATTAATGAAAAGGATTCAAATGTTGGTTAATAAAAACATTTCTTGGTTTGTTTTGGAACATTTAAGTAATCATTACGAATGTAATCTGTTAAATAAGGTAATAAAAGGTAATAAAATATGTTTTCCAGTTCTTCTACTTATTTTTTGACCAACGCTATCTTATTTTAATTCTATGTCCCTTGGTGCACAACCAGCACCTACACCCATTGCCTCCGCCCCCCCCCCCCAGCCCCTTTCCCGGAAATGGGCTGTCGCAGCTCTCCTCAAATTTGACTACGGCTCCGTCTCCTTGACTACGGCAGCTACCTGACGGGAACATCCCAGCTTCCCCTCCTCCCCTTGGAGCAAGTAGATGCTAATTTGAGAAACACTGGTCTACTTTCTAAAAGACCTTAAAGCGACATCAATCATGCAGCTTATCTGACACCATTATTTAAACCACTTCTGTACCAGACAACTTGTAGACTTGTCGTGTATTCGCTAGGTACTGTGTTGACCTCACTTTGTTACTTCCATGAATCTCATTCCATGTTCAAGAGCTAATTCCTCCCCCCTCCCCCCCCCCCCCCCCCGCCCCCCCCCCCACCCACCGTCTCCCACCTCCTTTCCAAAAAAGAGAGGGCAAATTTCGACTGACGTCTACTCCAGAAGATTGTCATTATAGCTTCTCAAATGATTATAAGCTATCACTGATTGAGTTCATTCTGTGTCCCCAGAATTCGGTTAGTGTCAGATAATATATGACTACAGTATTTGTTGATCTAAAAGCAATTCTATGAAACAGGAACTGCCTTCAGTGGAAAACACCCCAATGTATCCTTTATGTTTCAACCAGTCATCCCCTTGTGAGATACAATTTTTCGTTTTTTTTTTTTTTTTGAAGCCCGCATGGCTCTTCACAGGGGCCGCAATATAGCCCGGCAATATACATGGCCTAATGGCTGAACGCGGATTCCGGGACTTTTCCACGGGTGATCATCATCCACATGGTAGCACTTTGTGTCATCGGGTGTTTATCGCTTGTGTGATGCCCTAGTGGAGTAAAACGTCAGTGAGTCATGTATCCTCGATTGAAAAAAAAAATGTTTGAGAGTGTGATTCTTAGGATATAATTTCCAAGTATCTAGTAGATAATATACCCTGTCTACACTCCTTAGATAAGCTTTATAATTGGTGTCGCTTCCAGATCTTCTAGAATGTAAACATTACACAGCAACATATAATATGATTTGGTCATTTGAGTAGAATACGCTAGTAGGAAATGATACAGTACACCAGGTTGGAGAAATATAACAAACACAGAGCAATGAGAGGGCCTCGCAAAAATGGGACGAAGGTATCAAAAATTGTCTTAAAGAAATGAAGATCGGCTTATGCAACGAATTAGAAACAACACACATAAGATTCTTACAATCATATCCCTTCTCCTTTTTCTTCCAAAACTTTGATGTGGTAACCGGCTGAAGAATAGATTTTAAAAAAATGAATTAGATGAAGAAAGAAAAATGTAATAGCACAAAGAAACGAAAAAGAAGATACTAAAACACTTTGTTACCTTAGTGTCAGCTTCATAGTAAAATGGTCGATCAGTAGTGTCAACGGAAACACAGAATGTCCATCACTGTCCCTTGTGGAAAAAATGACAGAGACTGCAGTTGCAGCATGTCCACACATTACACACGCATTAAAAGCATAAAGCAGCCATCAGACGTTCCAACACAAACAGCCTAACGTTAGAAAGGAAGCTTATCAAAGACGTAAAGGGCAGTTGCAAACAGATCAGCAGTTGCACACGCGCGATCAAGTTTAATAATATAAGGCTTCATCAATTCTGTAGCAACAAGCCAAGCGCCATTTTCTGAATCTACAGTTCACAAGTTGGTCACAGTCGAAAAACATTCCAAATGAAATCCGCAGCTCACAGTGTCGCGTTATGCACTTAACTCAGTAGCTGCCGACAAAACCTTATACTTTCTGTTTACAAACTGAGGAAAATGCAACGGCCACCATCAATTGGAGGCTAAAATTTGCACAGACTAAAAACAGTGACCGTGCCTAGCACCCATTTGGACTTGAAGCTACATCAAGATCTCTGTCATGTTAAGTAAGCAGCCCATATAAGAAAGAAGAAAGGTTAGGAGTGAACTCGACCCACAGCCTCCCTCGTAGAACAATCATGGTGCCAGCACTCATAGAAAAAGGAGCCATTCAGATATATAAACTAGTAAAGATAAGTGCGGTGCACAAAGTGCACGTATGGTAGTTGTTAATGAACGACCCTCCGTTGAAGTCAGTGGCCAGATAGGCGCACTAGTTTAAAGAACCACAAACAAATAGACTCAAGCTGCAAACATAAAATTTACGAGGGGTAAAAATTACAACGACAGTGATTAGCCGTGAATAGCATACACAGGTGGATCAGCAACCAGGGATGTTAAGAATAGGGGTGCCGACAGATGTTTCACATATCCGATAACTACAGCGATGCAAAGTGTATACCCATTGTTCCAGGTATTTAGCAGAGATCCAAGCACTAGAGCAGGCTGCCGAAATGATACATACCACCAGCTGGGTCATTTATAACACATGCGCTATCGATGCTGCAGTCTCTCAGTTATGGTAAATTACAGATCAACTTGCTATGAAAAAGAGATGAATGTAAACAGAGAAACAATGGAATTAAATTCTTGAGAAAGAGAGAGAGAGAGAGAGAGAGAGAGAGAGAGAGAGAGAGAGAGAGAGAAGGACAGAGAGAGAGAAGGATAGAGAGAGAGAGAAGGATAGAGAGAAAGAAGGACTATTAAGTCTATAAGAAGCAAACAGTGATGGTTAGTTGCGTATCCTTTACAGGACGTTGCAGAACCAACCCCCAACAGCCCCTGGCTGTTGTGTGGTTTTTCTAGGCAAAATTACGTCCAGTAGTTTGCCATTTCTTCTGGAAGGTCGACTTTCTTGATACCACTGTCGAAACCAACACAAGGCGCATGGCCCGTAGCTGGGATCGAACCCGGCATCACGAAGCGTTCGCATCGACTTAGCCACAGAGCTGACGGTTAGTGATGATTACCACTTATTTTACCAGCAGGGAAAGGTAATCATTACAGACAGGGTGAATCTCTGAACATGTCCGCCCGGCTCTCTAGCGTAGTTGGCTAAATCGGATTGTGCGGAGACCGGCCTGCAATCCTGAGGTGGTGGGTTCGGGTCTGACAGAGACGTGCTTTTAAACAAATGACCTTGCTTCTGGTTCGACTCATCCTTAAATTGGTACCAGTTACAGTCCTGGGAAGTAAAAGTGACCGGCGTGATTTTGGCCACATCACCCATCGAGTGCTGATGACTCTATAAAATAAAAGGTATAGCCCGATTAGCCCCATATGCCTGTAGTCATGAAAAACAGCACTGTACTTTTAATTTCCTATTGCTACCAGACGGTCCGATCTTCATACCGCTGTCGAAATAGACGCAAAGCGGTCTGCTCCCCAAATCGCCCACAGCCAATTAAAAATACATTAAAACGAACGATGTTCTTGGTCCCTGAACAACATACGCTACCTCAAAAGAAACGAGGACACCAATGCGAGGGCTCTACTTACACGTGACACTGTTCAGTTTCCTTGTCCAGGACCTGTTTGTCCGGACAAATGTGTTCAATGTAAACTCCATTGACACACTTCCTGTAGCCCCAACAACCGACCTCTATGATCCCAAACATGTCCGCACTTTTGCATCTCACGTCGGGCGCTGGAGTTGCGGCGCCAAAAGCTGGGTAAAAAAACATACAGGGTGTTTGTAAAGTATAACTACAGTTTGTGTGTTAAACAAATTTGAAAAACGAAGACATCATACACACAGAAAAATACTTTAAAAAGTCATTGAATTAGTTACAATAGTCACAGCTACGGGTCTTATGTTATTTTGGGGAAAGCTGAAAAATACCAGTGAAATATTCTTGAAAACAAGTTTCCAAAATGTCCACAGCGGGCTTCAAGACCACGTGTGCATCGGAAGCCATTTTGAAACACTCGTTCAAAACAACAAAGTTATTTATTCCTCTGATGACACCATTTTGTTTCGACGGCAAAGAATTACTCCAGCAGACACCAGTCATTGCACTGCATATCCTCTATCCACTCCTCTACCCACTTTACCCGCAATCGTTTCGCGATATCTACTACCATGCTTTATTTCTTAATGCATGTTACCGCAATCGTGTGTAGTGTCCATACATTCGTCATTATCTACTAGCCCAGTCCGCTCTCAAAGCGCTGTCCAAGCTTCTTCTTAATGCGTCTGTGCATTGCTTGCCAGTTGGTCCGCTCGCTAATTACCCTTCACTCCCGCATGACCAGGTGTGTAGATCCAGGTGAGGGAGGTTACTTTGTCTAGTGCAATAGCGATGACTGTCTCCCTCTGATATCTGTGATAAGTTGTCTTCGGGCTCCCGCCTCTTTCAACACCTCTTGTTTGCTCTTTTTGGCTGCCCAAGGTATTCTAAGCATTCTTCTGTTGAACCACATCTCTGAGGCATCAAGAAATTGTTTGGCCTGCCTACCAATTGTCCAGGATTCGAAGCCATGTGTTAAAACTGGATGTATATAGCAAGCAAGAGTTCTTTTTCAAACTCTCGCAAATCCCACATATCGCTCTCACCCCCCGAAAGATTTCTCCCAGTGCGAACAAGAAATTGTGTCCCGTGTGGGTCCGTCTAAGAAACTCCATATTTACTGAATTTGAGTGGCGGTTTTTGTCTCTGTAAACAGCAAAAAAAAAAAAATATTTATGTCACTCTAAAATGAACGGGTACAACTAAATCACAAAACAAACGAAACTTTACCTGAGTCCAGCGCCAGCAAGCAAACAAAAGACAAATAGAGCTGAGTCATTGTTCGACTAGTGAGACTGGTAAGAGAACTGTACTTTCAGGTCGTCTTCAGATGGGGTTATATATACACGTCTGCTGTATTCGTTATCTGCAGTTCCATGGGCTTGCAAATCTTCTAAGGATCCGGTTTGCATTCAAAAGATTTCACAAAATTATTAATCTCTGAATAGACGTGTAGCCGAGAGATAGACTTTAAGAATTCGAGATTACAAAAGGCCAAAAAAAAGTTAGCATAGCACTAGGTGATACGTGGAAGTCAACGAAGATTAAAGATAGTACCAAACTTTCAATATGAAGATTTAAATCAAATCATAATATATCAAATACTTTGGCAATATTTAACGTCACATTATCTTAGAAGGAAGTAGTTGAAACATGGTTTACGAAAGTCAAGACCCCCAGCACCAAGGTGGGGGGGAACACAATATTGTTGCCACACTGGGTATACAGTTTTCAGTACTTGATGAAAGTTGAGAAGTGGAGAGGGACCAAGTCGGTCCCCGCTGACCCTGGCTGGAGGCGAAGTTCTGCGAGAAACTGCTTTTTTTTTGAAGTGATCACTTAATATTTTGCTCAAAATAACTTCTGTTTCCACTTTTTCTACTCCTTCATCTCCCCCTCCTTCTTCTACATCTTTTTCTGTTGCTCCTTCTGCTTCTCTTTCTACTTTTTCCTTTCATTCTAAGCCTCCTCCATTTATCCAAACAAACTTTGGTTGAGGCTGGGAAAGGTTGAGGGTGATGTTAGGTTGGTCTGTGTGCTGTTTCTATTAGTCTTGTTAGCTGGTCGCCACATCACTACCAGGGTTCTCAAAACCAATGTTCCAATTGTTTCTGTATTAGTGTATTTTATAGTATTTTGCTATTTTAGTTCTTTGCCGTTTATTCTTCTTCTCGTGTAGCCTATCAAAATATGCTATCTTATATCTGCTATATGACCAGTGCTATCGGCCAGCAGCCTTGTTTAAAGCAGCTAAACTAGGATTTACCGGAAGAACGTATAAATATATCCGAAGCTTTCTACAAGAAAGAACATTTTCAGTACTAGTTAATAACGAAAGATCACAAACTTTTGATCAGGTGAATGGAATCCCTCAGGGTGCTGTAATATCCCCTACCCTGTTCAGCATATTAGTAAACGACCTTGATGATGCCATAACGAACAAGGACACGGGACTAACTCAGTTTGCGGACGATTGTGCGATCTACCACAGCCATAATCAGATCCCCTGCGCTAAGAAAAGATTGCAGAAAAGTCTAGACGAAGTTACGCATTGGATGGGAAAATGGGGATTTAAAATCAACGTCGACAAAACAGTAAGCATGATATTCAACTTTAAAAGACAGCTTAATTATGACCCAGAAGAAACGAGACTCCAAATTAATGGCAGAACAGTTCAGCGGACACGGTCGACGAAATTTCTAGGAATGATTCTGGATGAGCAAATGACCTGGGCTAAACACATCGATGATCTCGTAGTAAAGTGTACAAAGTACAATAATATGCTGAAAATGATTAAAGGAAACGGATGGGGAGCACACCAGGACACCCTAATACAATTTTATAAAGCTTTCGTTAGGGGCAAAATGGAATACGGAAGCATAGTATACGAATCAGCATCAGAGAACAGCAAATGCAAACTTGATAGGATTCAGTGCCAAGCCCTGACTTCCATCATGGGCGCTGGCAAAGGGACATCGAGAGAGGCCATGGAGGTAGCACTAGGCATCACACCGCTTAACCTCAGAAGGAAACAACTAACTTATAGCTATTGGATGAAAGCGGCCAACGATGCCAGACACCCAGCTTCAGACGCTTTTCATCATAACATTACCCACCTAGGTGACAGACCGGTCAGAGACATACAGAGACCAGCAGCCTGGGACGCTGCACTAGAAATTAACGATGATGAGGACTTAGCTAGGACTCTAGAGGCAAGCGTAAGGTTTGTCCCTCAAATCCCTCCATGGAGACTAGAGCTGCCCAGGACAGACATGAGTCTGATTAAAATTATTAATAAGAATACTGAAACATTTGAAGCCAAAGCAATAACAGAAGAATACATAGACCAGATCCGATCAGACAATCTGGTTGCATACACTGACGGATCAAAGAATGAAGCAGGAGAAGTAGGAGCAGGAGTAATAATCCCACAGTGGAACATACAAAGAGAATATAAAATAACAGATCATGTGGCAGTATGCACAGCAGAACTAGTCGGCATTATGAAGGCACTAGAGATGGTAATTAATAAACCTCCAACTAAATTTACCATACTGACAGATTCATTGTCCTCGGTGCAGACGTTAAAAAACACATAAAACTAACAGTAGACCAGATATTAAAGAGACAATCCTGAATCTAACAACTCAGCTCAAGAATAAAGGATGCCAAGTCACCATTGCATGGGTACCAGCACACAGAGGTGTAATTGGCAATGAAAAAGCTGACATAGCAGCCAAAAAGGCAAAATGTGTGATGTTTTAAACAGAAAGGACCAGCATAGATGTAAACTGCAATGGCAAAATAATGGCAGAGAATGCCTACAATAACCTTAAAGAGCCCAGCCTTAACACACAGGTACGGGACAAACTGAAAATTCCAGCCAACAAACTTCTATGGAGAGCTAGATTAGGATGGCACCCAGAGAAATTTACATCTCCACTATGTCTGGACTGCTTTCAAAGATAATACTCTAGAGCATTATATAATAAACTGCACTAAGTATAAATTGGAAAGGAAACCCATTGAGGAATTTTTTCTAAAACGCAAACAACAAATTACTGTAAACAAATGTTTAAATGTAGAAAGCAATAAAGACATCCAAAAACTGGTTAAACAATACCTTATTAAACAAAATCAAAACTAAAAAGTACCAGATTAGGGGATTTACTCAGTATAACAGAAGGAACTGATGAGATGGTAACCCCGAACATCCTAGAGTCAGAGAGATAGTGTAAGTATGATGAGTGCATAGATGTGAACATGGACACATACACAAGGATGAGTGCGTGTAGTATGAGTGGCATTTTGTGTATAGGATGGATCATAAGACACAGTGTATGTAGGTGGATGGTATGGAATCATATGTGGACGGAACAGTGGGAATATAGTTGTGCGAAAGGTACAGATGAATGAGTACATGGAATTAAATGTATTACTGTATGCATGTATATGTGTGTACGAGTGTGCATGTGTGTATATATATGAGAGCGTGTATACTAATATATTTGTGAGTGTATGAATGACAGTGCAATCAAAGAAATCATAAACTGTGTTGCTGTATGTCTGTTCATTAATGAGAACAAATGGAATGAAGGGTGTAAGCAGCAAGAACGTCATCAACGCACACTATCCACCAAAACATGATACGTCAGTACCAGACAGGTCCATACCAGTAACAGGACATAACTTAAAAGTGACACGACCAGACGAAATTACAGACAAAGCGACACAAAACACATAAGACATGGAAGAGTGAATATCACTACGTGTGGATGTACTACGTTTTTTTTTTTTTTTTTTTTTTTTTTTTTTTTTTTTTTTTTTAATGAATGTAAGCACAGGCATTGGTAAACGCATATGAAAGAGTTTGCGTGTGTACGTAATGTCAATTAGGTATGCATATACGGATAAGTATGAAAGGACGTACAAATATGTAGTGTTGTCTGCATGTATGAGTACTCGAGTGCATGTACGCATACACCTAGTTGGGTGCGTCCATATACTCCGGGGATTCATAAACAAAACCATCCCACTCCACAACATGCATACAACATGCACATGACCGACAGGACTCGTAACAAAAATATGACTGACAACAAGTAGGGAATACAAGTGACTCGATAATGACAGGACTAGAACGCATAGCCTCCAATACCACCCCATCACTGGGATGATAGCAAAGGTTGGTAACGTGATACACATGGTCCCGGCAAAAAGCCACGCTAGAATCCAGCAAGACGGCAACGACGAGAATTGACTGAATGGCCTTCCGCTCCCCTTCCCCCCACCTTTCCCTAAATCTTTCGGATGCACTATGAGTTTAACCCCCCAACCCATTCCCACTGAGAGCACTTGAGTTCGTTGCCCATCATGCCACAACAATTCTCATCGCCGATCATTTGGATCTCAAAGCGTGAGCTGGACGGTCCGGTTATATGGTATTTACGTACACCGGAGCTTAGCTATCAACACAACCCGATCACATAATAACAAATGACGACTGGACTCGCTTAAGACTCCACACAAACTCCCACACACATATCCAATACACGACTAACCCGTTCATATTACAGGAAGACAACTATAAGACCACTATGGTCATACGCGGAAAATTTTCACATTTCGGAACTATTCACATTCAAAAACTGTTTTCAGTACTTTTTGGAAAATTAAAATACTCAAAATTTTAAAACAATAAATGGTGGCCGAAAGGTCGTTGTGTTTGGAAGCTCGATCTCCTTCGAGATACGCCTAGCCAGATCAAAGGGAGACAGAACAAACAGGAAACACCACGAATGAAGAAGGAAGACTTGCACCAGTGACAACAGGACGAGCGGTTTGATACGGAGGGAAGCATTAAGCCAGAAATGGCACAAACACCAGTATTCAGTCACGAAAGTGACGCAAATAACCCAGACCACAAATATAGGCGGAGACTGTTAGCAGCCTAGGCTAGCTAGCAGCAGTCTGAACGTGGTCGAGCTTTTCTTTTTTTTCTTAAAAGGACTTGGACTTGGACCTCCCTATGGACAAGGATTATCTTTAAAACTAAATTTGGCTCCCAGACCAACCTAAGGATGTTTTTCTGCACCTTCGGAAGAGTTGGGAATATAGGGCTACACCTATATTTTATAGATCAATCAACACTTAGTGGATGATGTAGTCAGCATCACGCCTGTCGCTTTTACTCATCATGAATTTACCTGCTACCCATTTAAGGC